CCCCCCCTTTCCATGTCCCCAAATCCCTCCTGAGCCAGCTCAGCTCCAGCCCTGCCCAGAGGCAGGAGCTTGAGAAGCCAACTCTGCATTTTTCTCTCCTGACTCAGAGTTTCTCCTCAGTCCAGGCAGGGCAAGGGGAGGGAACAGGGGGCTGGACCCGGGTTTATCATTCCTGTGCTGGAAAAAGAGCATGGGAAGGAAAGAAAACACAACACAGAGCAGCTCTTCCCAATCCTGGTCTCTCCTCCCATGGGAACTGGGATTTTCCACCAACCACTCCCCAGTCCTCCGGGTCCTGCTGCACCACAGCACCAGGGAAATCTAATACCGAAGAAAAATGCAGCTGGACAGGTTGGGTGAGGGAGACACTCTTGGGAGGAGGTGTCTGTGTGTCCCCTCCCCACACCCAGCACCAGAAATAGTCACCTTGGAAGGCCAAGGTGCCCTCAGTGCCCCCCTGCCCCTGCAGCCCACCGAGACCGAGCGCTGCATCGAGTCCCTGCTGGCCGTGTTCCAGAAGTATGCGGGTCGGGAAGGGGACAGCTGCACCCTGTCCAAGAGGGAGTTCCTGGCCTTCATGAACACCGAGCTGGCTGCCTTCACCAAGGTGAGCACAGAGGAAGCTCCCAGAGTGGGCACCCCAGCCCCCCCCGGGCAGCAGTTAAAGCCTCTGTCCCCACGAGCACGGTGGGGTGGGCAGAGGGATGAGCTCCTTTGCACCACAATCATGGAATGGTTTGAGTTGGAAGGGACCTTATCTGGATCCAACCCCCCCATGGACACCTCCCAGCAGCCCGGGCTGCTCCAAGCCCCATCCAACCTGCCCTTCAACACCCCCAGGGATGGGGCAGCCACAGCTTCCCTGTCCAACCTGGCCCAGGCTCTCCCCACCCTCACACTCCACAATTCCCTCCTCAGCTCCAACCTCCAGCTCCCTCTCCCACTTTTCATCCCTCCCCCTCATCCCATCCCTCCCTGCCCTTGGCCCAAGTCCCTCCCCAGCTTTCCTGGAGCCCCTTCAGGCCCTGGAAGCTGCTCTAAGGTCTCCCTGGAGCCTTCTCTTCTCCAGGCTCAACACCCCCAGAAAAGCTGGAAGCTGCTCTATTCCAGTGCTTTCCTAACCTCATGGTGAAGAATTTCTTCCTGATGTCCAGCCTGAATGTCCCCTCTTCCAGTTTAATACCATTCCCCCTCGTCCTATCATTGTCCTCTCTGGTGAAAAGTCTCTCCCCATCCTTCCTGCAGCCCCTTCAGGTACTGGAAGGTCCCTGAGAAGCCAGAGCGTGGCCTGGCAAGAGTTGGCCCCACTAAATTCTGCCCCCTTCCCTCTGCCAGTGACAAACTGGGCAAGTTCATCTCCCAGCATGGGGGGAGGGTTCCTCAGCCGTGGATTCTCACCTCTCTGGTCCTTTGGCAGAACCAGAAGGACCCAGCTGTGGTGGACAGGATGATGAAGAAGCTGGATTTGAACAGCGACGGGCAACTCGACTTCCAGGAGTTCCTGAACCTGATCGGGGGCATCGCCGTGGCCTGTCACAACACCCTGATCAAAGCCCCCACCCCCTAACCCTGCCCTCCGTGCCTCCCCCACCACTGTGAACATTCCTAAGACCACCAAGCATTCCTGGAAGAAGCTGGAAAGCAGTGCCCTTCACACGGGAACCTCCCCATGCCCTCGTTTTTACGCCTTGAAAATAAAAGGTTTGAAATCCCAACGTTCAGGAGGTGGGTTTATTTCAGCAGCCCAAGGGAGGGGAGAGCAGGAGGAAAAGGCAGAGAGGGAGCAGAGGACCTCTAGGTCCTACCCTCTGCTTCTCCAGGTTCTCATCCTTGGCACTGCCAGCAGCTGTGACCCCACCTGGGCTGGGAGATCCTCCAACCTGGTGAGTGCCAGGGGGAAAGGCCCAGTGAGGCTAAAGGAACATTCCAAGACAGGAGGGCATTCCCAACAAGGATAATTACACACTAATAATTAGTGGCAGCAGCCCCTGCTGGGGTGAGAAATCATTTCAAGACTCCAGCCTCCATTTTCTGGACACTTCCTCCAAGCCTGGTAGCTCAAGGTTGCCCAAGAGCAGGAGGGGGGAGAGGTGGAAAGAGGAAACTCATCTTTATTTTTATCTCAGCAGCTCAGACACCAACCAGGAAGATGGTCAATTTAGTTTATTCAGGAGAGAAGCTGATTATTGTGAGAACTGGGGCTAGGACAACACAAGAAGAAGTCAACACTAGGATTTGAAGGCTGAGCTGCTCTCCTGTCACTTCTGGGGGGAGCAGGGACAGGTTCTGTGCTGGCCCTGGATCCAGGCAGTGCCACATTCCTGGCAGAACCAGGTTTGGTGTCTTGGAGCTCATCTTTCAGGATCCCAACACTTCAGAGATGTCAGAGGCAGTTGCTGCCTCTCAAGTGGTTTCTACCAAGTGCCCTGTGTGGTGATCAGGGCTCAGCAAGAGCTTTACCCCTCTGGAAAAGATCTGTCTGGAGACAACAGGTCACAGCAACATCACAATGAGGGGGGTCTGGAAAGGGAAGAGCAAGTTGCTGCTACTGGGAAGCAGCCCTAAGGATTCCTGGGAGGGGAAGAGCAGGTGAGACACAGCACAGGCACAGCTATGGTGGAGAGACTAGACTAAAAGCTGGGGTGGTGGGAGAGGGAGGTTTCCAAAATGTGCTGTGGCATGAGACCCTCTGAGCCCACCTCCCTGGGCCAGGCCCTAGCGGAACTGGAGGGGGCTGATTCGCAGCCCCAGGACATCCTTGCCAATCTCTGTCACCTGAGGAAGGAAAGGGAGATGATTAATGAGGGAAAGGGAGGTGAGGAATGAAGGAAAGGGAGGTGATTAATGCTTAAAAGCAGCCCAACCCCAGCACTCAGAGCCTCTTGGTGCTGGAGGCCACGGGCTGCTGATCCCTGCAGTGCCCTGGAGGCAGAATTTCAGCTCTGCAGGGTTTCACAACTCCCAAGTTGCTCCTCAGAGGCCAAGTCCTCCAACACTCGACCCAAAAACTCATGTCAAGGTGAAGCGTAAGCATGGGGGAAGGTGCTGGAGGGGATTCTCCAGGGAAACATGGAATCGTGGAATGGTTTGGGTTGGAAGGGACCTGGTAGGTCAGGTCAAGAAGCTGAAGGACATGAGGGTGGCAACTCTGAGGGACAGGTTAAAGGCCTACATTACAGACCTGGGAATATAGGTTGTATATAAAGCACCTGGTTGGAGACAATCATGGGATGGGTTGGGTTGGAGGGACCTTCAAGACCATCTAGATCCAACCCCCTGCATGGGCAGGGACACCTATCACCAGCCCAGGCTGCTCCAAGCCCCATCCAACCTGCCCTTCAACACCCCCAGGGATGGGGCAGCCACAGCTTCCCTGGGCAACCTGGCCCAGGCTCTCCCCACCCTCACACTGTCAATCCCCCTGGGTCAGGAGGGGGTGGTGACAGACTCTGAGACTCCCTTACTGTGGTGACACGGCAGATCTGCCCGTGGAACTCGGGGCAGTAGCAGGCTCCACTGAGGGGACACTTCTCCACGGGTTTGCCACGGTAGATGGGTCGGTAGGAGGCAGCACAGATGTCAAAGGGGTTGTGCATGTCATAGTTGAGCTGGTAGGTGTCCGTGGGGTTCTTCTCACAGGCTGACAAGATCTTACGAGTCTGCAGAAAGAACCACGGTGAGCAGAGGAGACCCAAGAGGTTCTGGGACTGCAGGACTGGGAGTTCTGGGACTCCCCCCTGCTCCTCACAGACGTACCTGCTGGGCCACCTCAGGCTTTGGGCCCAGCTCCAGCAGCCGACGGGCAAAAGTAGCAGCTGTCTTGAAGTTTTTGAGCTTGAAGAAGAGGTTGAGGGCAGTTCGCAGCACCAGGATCATGTGGACGGGCTGCAGGTTGGAGTGGGTGAAGTAGGCAGCCATCTGCAGGGGGGCAGGAAGGGAAGGGGGGGGCAGGAAGGGAAGGGGGGAGCAGGAAGGGAAGGGGGGAGCAGGAAGGGAAGGGGGGAGCAGGAAGGGAGGGGGGGGGCA